CAGGACAAGTTGATCCAAATCGTGCTCTTGATCCAGGTCTCATTTATGATGCTACCCCGCAAGACTACGCAAACTTTGTTTGTGCGTTGAATTTTACTCGAGAGCAAACTCGGACTATCATACGATCAAGCTACAATTGCTCAAATTCATCCTTGGATCTGAATTATCCATCCTTCATCGCTCTTTACGACATTGAAGAAAAAAGAAGTACATTAAATCAAAAATTCCACAGGACTGTCATTAATGTAGGGGATGGTGCTGCTACATATAAAATCAAAGTTAAAAGACCGAAGGATTCTACCATCACAGTATCACCAGAAACATTAGTCTTCCAAAAGAAGTACGAGAAGCAAAGCTATTCTGTGAGCATACGTTATAGGAGTTACAGTAGGACTGTTATTAACGATGGTTCACTCACTTGGGTTGACGAGAATGGCAAGCACACGGTGAGGAGTCCCATTGTGGTCACTCGACGGGTCTTTAATGATTAGTTTTCACAGTAGTTCAATAATACATATTTTTCATTATTTTAGTTGCACAGTCCTCTTACAATTCTTCAACTTAATGCTAACTAAAGAAAACATGGATATGGCTAAATTTAAAAGTGCGTGGATTATATTAAAATTAACCCGAAGAACTATCGTTTGCGCTCATCGTGGAAATGGTCTCTCTAGTTTGTACTCATTGTGGAAATGGTCCATATTGTTTCAAACTTGGCATTTGCACTCTCATTTCAAACATTTTTTGCGAAATTGGTAATTCCTGTTATATTTCGTTAAATCCTTCCGTTAAATTTGTGTTATTTGGTGCAAAATATCCTTATCGTTTGCTTTTCATTGCGCAAATAGTCCCTCATTGTTTCAATTTTGATTTGTGAACACTCAAAATTTCTTTGCTTAACATATCATTATCATCTATTTTCTCCATTATAATATTGTAAAATGACTATTTTATCATCAATAAACAAATAGAAAAAAATAATTAAAAAATTACATCTAGAGTTTTATGTTTTTTAAAAAGTACAAAAAAGTCTTACGTAAAACAATTTACAACATTTTAATAAAAGAAAAATATTTTATCTTCTAAATTAATTCACCTACCCCTACACTCATCTCCTATGCTCCACCAACACCACAAAAATAATTAAAATATAATAAAATTAAAATTAAAAATAGAAAAACAAAAAAATTATAAAAACAAAATGATGCTTATTCCTCATCAAATATTGTTTTTATACTTTTAATTTTCTTTTTAATTATTTTGGTAGTGGTAGTGGTGGCGAATAGTCGTAAGGGTAAGTGGATTAATTGGAAAAATAAAATATTTTTCTTTTATTAGAATGTTTTAAATTTTTTTACATGAGACTCGTTTGTAATTTTTGAAAAAACTAGAAACTCTAGATACACTTTCTTTATATATATATATATATAAAGAGAATGATAAATTAGTCATTTTATAATGAAGAAAATGGATGGTAAGAACCTTTTAAGTAAAGAAATGTCGATATGTCAAAATTAAAATGATAGGGACTATTTGCGCAATTAAAGCAAACAATAGGGACATTCTCCGTCAAATTACACATATTTAATGGAAGGATTTAACGGAACATGACAGAAATGACCAATGCTGCAAGAAATGTTTGAATCGATAGGAACCATTTTCACAATGAGTACAAACGATAGAGATTTTTTTTTTTTTTTTGTTAATTACCCATCAGGATATATAATTAGATGAATGACAAGCCAAATAGAAGTTCCTGGCAAGCTAATAAATTTACTGTCATTTCTACTTGTTAGCGATTCCTCCACTACGCAACAAAGTCTCAAGGAGTTCTTGCATTTGGATTCTTTCTAATTACAAGAAATACATGTTATTCATTACATTTTAAAGGACCGCTTTATAATTTCTTTTCTTCACATTTACTCAAAAGGAATTCTTCTCTATATTTTCCATTGTAATGATCTATAAAATGGCCTTATGATTCTGTCTTCATTAGATGACTTCCAGGAGTGATTTTGAATGAATCTCCATTTCCTTTTTCAGTAAGTTTCAATGAAAAGTACTGAATGAGGTTAGATTCCTAATGTA